GGCATGCAAACAAATATTCAATTCACTCCAAACTATTATTATGCTAAATTGGTTGAATATTAATGCAACAAATATTTCTAAAATATTGTGATCACTTTAATTAAACAATAAGATTAAAAAGGAACCTAAACTAATTATCCAAATTATCTTCTTAGTCGCGATTTTCAATTACATATCCCCTTTAACATGCAATATGGTGATCATAATAAATATTATAGAATCAACATTAATAATGGAAGCAATTTAACAATAAATTGTTTGTCAAATAAAATAATAATAATAAGCCTAATCATAATACTAGCAATATAAAAAAAAATAAGAGTAATTAAAATAATTAATTACTCACATTACGCATGTTCCTTAAAATCATTACATCATGAATAAATCGTAAGTAACTTCAGTAAAAAACTAAATCAAATTGAAATTAAATTAAATTGAAAGTAGAGTTGATTTGGTCCAAACCCTCGGTTAATTACACCTTTCACGCCTTGTTTGAAGGATAGAGAACCCCGGGTCAAGTATGGACTCCTTGAAGTGCTTAAATTAGGGAAGTATTATGGAAGAATAAAGTGGTTAGGGTTTAGGCTAAATCAAGAGAGAAAGAGAGAAGTGAATGATTGTTGGTGAAGAGGGAGAGAGAATGATTTTTTGTGCCCCGAACTGCAGAAAGGAGAGGGGTATTCATAGAAAAAATGAGTAGAGGGAACACATAGAATCCTTAAAAGATAAAACCCTAGTTTTGGGGCACCGTGACACGACTGAGGTTGCCGCAACACGGAAAAACGTGCTGTAACATGGTACATAATACCGCGTCGCGGTGCAATAGCTGCCCTAAAATGATAAAACGCGTGTAGGGTTTACGTTAAGAAAACACGGGAAAATCCCGTGCCACGGCACATGTACCATGACATGGCAGAAAATGCCATGACCTGATAAAGTTAACCGTGGCGCAGAATGTGGCGCCTTGTTAACTAACTAACTCTCGTAGGAATCACGATCAAATTTTAGCAACAATTCACAAGCCATTTAAACCTCTAGATCGCTTTAGAGGACGAGTAATGCTCTTGTAAGGGTTTCCTAAGAGATTAACCCATAACTCTTAAGTAAAAGCAGGCAAAGCATAAAAAAAGAAAAGAGAAAGTTCAAACATAAAAAGAAAAGAGGAACTTCAATAGTGGACTCGTGCAAATGGTCAAAACACGAGAGGTTATCAAACTTTCTAAAACAACAATGGTAAGCACGTTCCGAGATATCGAGGGTTGATTGAAATATAGGACATGATAAGTATACTGAACTACCAAAACGCAATTCACTTTCATCTAAAACAATTTCAGCACATTTTCCCAATTGGCTTCAAATCTTCTTTTAACAAACATTTCTATAGTTCCTCGAAGGAACCGAAAAAACAATAGATTTGAGGTTTCTCGACATCTTGACTTTGCATTCCCTCTCCTTAGGCTTTGACTCATAATGCTCTCCCTCGGTATGTGACTCAGCCTCTAGGTCAAAAGGGATTTCCCAAAGGTTGTAACATAAGGGCAAAAGGTTGAGGGTAGGCTTAAAATTTAGAATTTGGTGGTACACCTAAGTTGTGAAGCAAAGATTTTCCAAATCTCAACACCAAAACAAAGTAATCACCAAACAAAAACAAATTAACACCTCCAAGCTTATTCAAAGATATAACCACAATCATATGTACAAAAAGCGTAAGACGCTTCCCCCGAAGCTAGAACATAGCATTGTCCTCAATGCTTAAGGAGAAACATTTACATCAAAATGTTTTTGAAAATTTTCATTTTTCACTTCATTTTCAATATTGCCAAAATTTAATGAAATTGCTTTGCTCTTTCTCAATTTTTCATTTTTCACTTTATTCATTGTCCATGCCTCTTTTAACTATGGACGGGTTTTTTTTACCTTTGCATTTGAATATCCTTACCTTTTTAACTTTGGACGGCCTTTTCATTTATTCACTTGTCATTATTCACAAGATGTACAAAACACAAGCTTTCTTACAAATAAGAACCAATATCCAAACTCATATACCACGATTTCCAAGAACATGATCATTTGCTTTACAAAAACCAAAAAGGAACAAAAAGAAACAAAAGGCTCAAAGTTCTATTGATGTGGCTTGAAAAGAAGGGAAAAGTCCCAAATTGTTAGCAACTAGAAAAATGTAAACCCAAGAACTAAAAATAAAGAAAGTTATCCTAGAAAAGAAAAATTACCACCCCAAAAAGATGCATTTGTCCTCCCTAGATGGTTCGGTCTCGTGTTTGAGAATTATGAGTCAAGATTCAAGATTAGGTCCGCAATAGTCAAGGATCCATGCCGCTCATGTAAGTAATTGAATAAGTATTCAAAACTATGAAACCTCACAAGGATGTTGCAAAAACTCACTAAAAGCTTCAAATTCACCAAAGGGGAACAATTGCGAGTTTTCAAAAACAAAAGAATCTAGTTTCAAGCTCCCTATAGTTCTAAATGACTACCTTAGCATGCTCTATCCTAGAGTCAACCAAAGATACTCTGAAACCATGCAATCCATTGTTCTTAGGAAGAATGATAGCCAATGTGCAAGTCCAAGTGGTACTAAGTCCAAAGCAAAAGAAAAATTATAAAGAAAGAAAAGCAATGCCTCAAAAACTATTTTTCATTTTCAAAATTTTTGTTATTTTTGTTTTTTTTTTCTTTTTTTTTTTCTGAAAGAAAGTTTTAAAAACAAAACATAAGAAAGAAAAATGCAAAAAGAAATGTAGTAGAAAAAGAAAAAGGAAACAAAAAGAAAAAGTAAAACCATAAGGAAATGGGTAAAAGAAAAAAGAAATAAAAAGAAAGATAGAAAAGAAAAGGAGAAATAGAAAGCATCAAGGAAGTAAGCTAACACATATATCCAAATCGACAAACAAGTTAACATTCCGCCACAATGTCAATGTTCCCAAACACACTAAGGTGTTAAATAGCAAACAACCTCGAACCGTTCAACTTCTTCTAATCTAAACCTAAACTAAGCATCCAAGAAAAGAAAATAAAATAAAAAGAATAAGATTAAAAAGATCTCACCTGGCATCGAAGTTATGCTATATCAAATAAGGTGAAATAGCAATCACCTTCATGGAGAACCAATATCCAAAGAACAAGCTACGAGGAAAAGTGAGAAACAAAATAAACTATATACAAAGAAAAGTGTTAGTAACTTCTAGACAAAATAAAAGAAAGATATAAGAAAGAATCTTTACTCAATAGGGAAAACGGAATACATGATAGCAGCCAAAACATCAAGGACATGATCAAATAATGAAATCGGGAAGTAGAATCATCAGATAAAAGCAGAATCATGAAGCAATACATCAAAGAATCATAATAAATAAGCATAGTCATAATGAAGCAGAGATACACATAAGACAGCAGACAGTAAAACAAACAACAATTCTAGGAATTGGAATAGAGAAACTATCATAAATACATCATCATCGTCATCAGAGAAGCAAGAGAGAAACAATGATCAATACCAACGATCAAAAGAGACCAAGAGTGAACTACAAAAGCGAAGGGGGGAACGGTGAAGCACACAAACAACAAAAATCACCCCCAAGCTTGAAATGAACTACCCCCCAAACTCTAATCCTAATAATATATAGGAAAAAAGAGAACATCATATAAAGCACAAAATAAAGGGGGGGGGGTCACGATAGTCTCACTCCGCACTATGGTTAGGTATAAAATGTGTACTCCCCTCACTGGTTTCTAAGACATGACTCGAGTTAGCCATTTCACTCACTTCCACGGGGGACTTTCTCCTTAACCTCCCCTCCCTCCTAGCACGATCAAGCGCAAAGAATTGAGACCAATCATCTAATATCGGCTCGCCAGACCTACCCCACCTACCAAAAGTTTCAAGGTCCGGAAAAGGCATAAGGTTTGCGGGATCATCAGTATAATCGCATCCACCGGGCCGCTTATAATTGTAAATGGCCGGGGTGGTGCCCATGATAGCACTAGAATGGATATGAGGACCTTCCTAGGCCAATAGGTGTAACAAGGTCAAGATCCGACGGTAGGGTCAAAGGGTTCCCATTAAGGGATGGGTCCTTCTTGTATCAGGAGGTATGGATAGTTCAAGTAAGGGTCAATCTCCCCCCTCCTCACATGATAGTCATACACTTTATTGGCATGGAAATCATAGTCAAGAGACGAATCCCGCCCCGAAGTCATGGAGCACAATACATTAGTAATGGAGTCTAACTTGGCATGAATAGTAGATAAATCAAATGTAGAATAAGAATTAGAAACAGAAATAGGAGGACATCCCCGTTCAACCAGGGTAAAGCTTGGAAGTCTCCAAGTCAACGAATCCTTCTTCGTCTTGCGGTTAGTAGCCTCCTTGCTCGGAATCATGAACCAATACTTCACTCGGGATACCTTCCATATGAAAACATCACGCCTGGTACAATGAATTTTTGGTTTACAAGACCGTAAACATTGAGGAAAAGAGAAGGTGTCCTTTCCCGAGGGTCGACTATAGGAGGGAGATCGCATAGCAAATCTTTTTATGAGTTATGCAGGCAAAGTGCCAGGATAGAGATCATCCCTCCTATTTGGATGCTTCCTGAAAGGCTAAGCCCATCTCGAATATCTTGATAAGCAACGTCGCCATTTTGCTATAGGGAAAATGTAGGTCGTTTTCTAGCCTTCCATAGATCTAAACTAAATTTATAAACACTCGACCTACACTACTAAAATTCGGTGATTTTACGACCGTTTTATTGCGACTGCTATAAAAATGGTCGCAATTATTATAAATTACGACTGTTAAAAAGTCTATAGTAAAATTCTATAATTGTGACCGTTTTTAAATTATTTGCGGCCGTTGTGCCGGTCGTTGAAATTATGTCATTATTTTATTAAAAAAATAATTACGACCATTCTGAGTGTCGTAGATTCGGTCGTAGTTTTTTTAAAATAAATTTAAAAAAAGTCGTTGTATTTTAATTTTCATGGGGAAATGGTAAAGAAGAAACAGAGAAGAAGGGGAAACAGGGAAACAACGAAGACAAGAAGGCAAAATTGATCGCTACTCCACCTGTTCTTCACATCGATGAGCATTGTTCGACCGGCGACGCTACACTCGGTATGTAATCTTTTTAAAAAAAAATTTCCTTACTTTGTTCGGTAACCCTAACAATTAGTCGTAAACCAACCCCCAAGCAGGACTACCATCGCCAGCTTCCCCTCCTCCCACTCCCTCCTTGTTTTCCGATGCCGGTACTCAGGTTAGTCACTGCATTTTTTTATTTAATTAATTTGGGCGAAAACCCTAATTTTGGGTCACAAATGAACCTCTTCGCAGGGCTACCGTCGTCGCCTCGCCGGGCTCCTCTTCTCTCCGTCCCTCCTCCGATTTTCGTCGAGTTAAGTCAGGTAAGTCGCTGCAATTTTTTCTTTTAGAATTAGTTAATTTGGGCAAAAACCCTAAATTTGGGTCACAAATGAACCCAAATTTAGGGTTATTTTTTATTGTTTCAAGTATGGATTCGCATTATTGAATTTATGGAGTGATAAATTGACTTTAGATTTAATACTAAATTATTATGCAATTTCTTATATTACTGATTGAGTTTAACTATCGAGTTTTCATTTAATCTAAAACTTACTTTGTTGGAAAATGATGAAAAACTCTGTATTTTGTCCTCTGTTTGTAATATGTACAGAAAAATAATGAAGGCTTATATTTATTCTAGGTGAAAAAATTTTATTTGCATAATTTTAACTTAATGAGTATCCAGTCCGATTTTTTACATGATGTTCATCACTCGTGCATAATTAATTTTAACTGGAGGTGATCGTAAAAATGCTATAGTTATTTTTAAACAACACTTTATAAAATTTAACTACTTCTAGTATGTATGTACGAGATATATACCCAAACAACGTATTACTTTCAATTGTATAACAATGAACATCACCCGTACCATACCATGGCTAGGGGACTAGGGGTATTAAGTTATACTATTACCATGTTAAACGCCAAACAACGTGGCACGAGGATGTTGTATATTCTTATGCGCTAGATGGCTTTAATTGGGTTGTATTTGGTAAAAGAAACATTTAGATAAAGTCAATTAATATGGAATAACATAGGAAACCATCAAATTTAATTATATTATATTGTCTAAGAGTAATAAAGAAATTTTCTAATTCTAATTGATTTAGCCACTTTAATGTTTGGTTAAATATGGGAAAATTTCAGTCTTGAACTATTTATTAAAGTTATGTTCTCAGGCCTACTGTAGCCGGAATCCTCTTATATCCGTCCCTCCTCCGTTTTTCGTCGAGTAAACCTAGGTAATTTAGTTATTTTTTTTTTATTTCTTTATTTTGTCTAAAATAGCTAATTGAGGGTCGCAAATTAACCCCCTTTGCAGCTCCACCATCGCCAGATTCCTGTTGTGCCCTTGCCACCTCCTTTTTCATCTTTTTCCGTTGCCGCCATTAGGTAAGTTGTGTATAGTTATTTATTTTTTTAATTTTAAAGTTTTTTTCTATATACCCTACCTAAAATTGTAACACCATCGTATACCAGGACCACCTTCGTCGCCGCCTCTGCTTTTTCGGTAAACTCCTCCACTATCTGTTTTCTTCCCTTCTTATTTAACTACTTCTTTTACTTTTGTAATATGATTCATATTTAGTTTAGTTGTTTATTGAGTTGTGATCTATATATTTTTTAAAAAGCATCCTTATTAGTTGCGTTTTTATTTCAGTTTACTATCATTGCTTTACTTTGTGAATGTGCTACTTGTTTAAGCGGGTTTTCCTAATGATTCTTAAATGGTCACTTTAGTAATATCAAGAGGTTTGCTAATAATAGCTTGGTTCATTGTTGGATTTTTTACGCTTTATTATGCATAGGCTTGAACTTGGATGTGTTTTGATTGGAATAGAAATTTATTTTGCTTTATGTCCAATGTAGGACTATTGGTTGGTATGAACTCATGTGTTGAATAATTTTCGTTTTTGTTTAAAAAAAATGATTCCTATAGAATTGTTTTAGCTTTATTAGAAATATGTATGTTTATATGAGAAGTTGTGTTAATCTTTTGAACATTGACTGGTGTGTACCCCGGGCAATGTCCTGGGTTGCTAGTTTGTGTACTTCTTGCTTTAATTTAGCAATTATGTTCGACTATTTGTATAGTAAGTGTGTGAGTTCGGGCAGTGCCTTGTATGTCACTTCTTTTTTTTACATCATATGTGTTTATATTCTAATCTTATGAAAAATAAATAAATCATATAACCTTTATTTTACTTAATAAATGAAAGGAATATATAATATTATGTGCAGCTTGAAACATTAATAATAGTTGGTTGAGATGGTGAATGTATTACTTATATGTATTGGAGGTTATGGGTTTGAATATTGTTCAAAGCATATTTTATTTTGTTAAATGAAGTGGCTAACTTACGATGATGACGTGGCTTTGTGACGTAGGACACATACTTTGAAGAGTGCCACGTGGCACCGTTCCTTTAGAAGGAATGTCTATTAATATATAGTATAGATTTGTATTATGGTTCTATAATATATTTTGTTAATTATTTTGTTTTTTCATTTAATTTTTTTCATGAATGGTTACATGTGGTTTTTTTTTTAATATTTTTATATTTTGATTTTTGTTATCAAACTCCCATCATTGTATTGTAAATTATATATAATAAGTATTTTAGAAAATATTAAAAATAATTTAAATATTTCTCAAGTAATTTGGTAAAAAGTTAACCCGTGCATGGATCGGAATAAATACTATTTTCTATAGTTAATGGTCAATATTATAAATTGCGACCGTTTGTTGCTGTCGCAATTTTCTGAACAATTATGACCGTTTTTCTACATGTCGCAATTTGCAGATTTTTACTACCACCATTTACCTGTCGCAATAATTTGAATTTTGTGGCCGTCTTAGCTGGTCGTAATTTCAAAAAAATTGCGACTGCCTTACTTGTCGTAAATAACGAAATACGTCAACTTAAAAACAGTCGTTAAAAATAATAAAAACGGTCACAATCTGATCTGCGACCACCAAGTGGTCGTAAATTTTTTTTTTTGCGACCAATAAAATAACGACCGGTGTGTTACATTGGGTGACAGTCGCAATTACACTATGCGACCGTTTTTCTTATATTTTGCGACCGTTAGTGGCGGTCGCAAATCATTGGTTTTTTAGTAGTGCAACCTAATACGAGTATATGGTAAGTCAAGAGTCGAACCCAAAGGAATGAGTAGGTGTATGCTATAGCCTAGGTCAAGCTACTTCGAAGATTATAGAAAGATATGGTCGGTAACTAAAGTATCAAAAAGCTAGATTAATCAAGAAATTCAATATAATAAACACTAGGGATATAGGTTCCACATGCAAGCTCAATGATTATGCTAATTGATGGATCACTCAATCAATTCAAACATTACAAAGGACAAACAATAGTTTCAATCAATGGAATCTAAAAGCTATCTCCTATAAGTCAATCTAAGGTTCACTATGAATGTATAACAAGGAATATCATAATCAAATTCAATCAATTGAAGCAACACTTAAATCAAGGCATCATGTCATTGAAAATTGCAATGCAATCTAGATTAATCTTATAGGTTGATTGTAGGCGTCGTTTGAAGGGCGCCAACGTTAAAGCCTGTGTGATTATTCTTGGCGGTCATAGGAATTGGGGATTGACGTATACGATTAGGGACAAAGAAAGAAAGGACCCGCCAACAAGTTTTTAAGGAACTTTTAAATCGTTCATGGATCATAAAAGGCAACCACGACAAAAGGACAATGATAGGCGTAGACACCCATTTGTTCTCCCCAAAACCAAACCCGGTGATGAGTATCTTTCATGTTGAATCATAATCGAATGAAGTGGAAGTGTGGAAAGTCTAGTGTTGCGGATAGTTTTAATTTCTTTCCTTTTCTCTCTGTTTTTGAAAACCTATTTTAAGAAAACAGCCAATCCACTTTGGTTGGTGCATGATATGAGTCCAATAGTACTATAGTTGGATAGGGTTTGAAAAGAACTTTCCAACGTTATATTATAAGCCCAATTCCGATGATTATTGAAGAAGTTACGACCAAATTACTAAACTGGGCCCGGTTCGAGCCTTATATGCGGCCCAATGATATAGGGGAGGGCCTAATATGGATTTATCATTCCTAATGCAATTAGGAATGGTTTTAGTCTTCTAGATTCTTCTAGAAGGTTCTTTTCGTTCCTAATTCAATTAGCATTGATAAATTGATTTTTGTTGACTTTTTAAAGTTTTAATCAGAATAAAAGAGTGTTTTTAAGGAAAATACGATTTTATCCTCCTGTACGGTTAAATTTTATTTGATTTTAGAAAACGCATCAAAAACTCGATTAGCGCCTAACGCCAGCATTAGCGCCTGGCGCTAAGCTTGGCGCCTGGCGCTAGCATTAGCGTCTGTTGCTAATGTCAGTGTCTGGCGCTAACTCCGTTTTTTCACGTTGGAACTATGGTTAGATTTTCTATCTTTTTGGCTAATTTTCTCTATAAATAGCCTCTTAAAAACTCCATTTTCAATCACCAATTCTCATCTACAATCATCAATTCCTTAGTTCTCTCATTCTTTTCTTTCTCAAAGCTAAAGCTTTCTCTCTTTTTTCTAAACCAACCCCTTTTTACAAAATTCCGCACTCACAAGACATAAATAAACCTAGCCAAGTTCGAAGTTGCCTTCGCCCTAGACGTGAAAGGTTTTAATTTTTGAGGGTTTGGTCCCAAATATCTCTTTCAATTATTATTTAATTTAATTGTTTTGTTTATTATTTTCCTTGAAGTTACTAACGCGTGTATTTTGTTATTAGAAAGAGGTACGAGGCATCCAAGTAAGTGCTTTAATTGTTTAATTGATATTATGATGTAGAAATCATGCTTAGATTGTTATTATGATTTCTAGAATCATGTTAGGATGTCTTTCTGAATTTGATATTTAAGGTGACAACAATAAATTCTTAGTAGCCTGTTTAGGGTAAAGAATATAATATCAAGAATGATTAAAAGTATGATGCCTTCTATTTTCTTTCCTAATATTCATGTTAGGGTCAAAGCTTTGATTTTTATTGCTTAGTGACATGCTAGGGTTTGTTATTAATCTTGTAAGTATCATGCATAGGGTCTTGCTATTATTATGCTTTAACATGATTATGATTATTATTATTATCATTATGATTATAATTTTATGATGATGATTATTATAATTATTATTATAACTATTTTAATCATTATGATTATAATTATTGTTATTGATGATTATTATTATGTTGCTTGATGATTATCTATTGTTATTGCTCTAACACACCTTTTATGCATGTTTAAAGGGAATTGGTACTTGTAATCACGCTGAATAAGATAATTAATAATCTTGTTTAGGGTTAATTTGATTATAATTCAAGTGATCGCCAATAATAGATTTATTTGTGGATTAATATTCAACCAACATAGATAAACAGGTTTAGGGTAAACCTATTGATTGCATGTTAGTTAAAAAGCGCACATGAATATGATCAGAGTAAAGTAGAGGCCTATTATTTGGACAGGTTCAATCTCTTTTAGGTTGGATTTGTACCTTCATCACCGAACTACCAGTCATGGTTCCAGACCTATTAGAGTTGACGATCTCCTGGATCGTTAAGGGCTGTAACCTTCACCTCGTGAACGGTTTACAAGTTCCTAAAACTTGTTGGCGACTCTTTTGCTCTATCTTCTTTCCTCGTGGCGCCAGTAACCTTTTATCGAAGATAGAAATTTCAACTACTTAGAACGGTTATTTCGACCTCTTACAGCAATTTTAGGTTCCTTGGTACGCCAATTTGCCCCTCTAAGAAACTTGACATGATTTAGTAATCGGCACGGTTACAATCGCATTAAGTGATCGTCTCACTTAGCTTAAAGCGCCTAAGCATTGGCTCAGCGGAGGTACCGACATAATGGTTCATAAACAGCGAAGGTACCGACATAATGGTTCATAAACATCAAAGGCACCGACAAAATGGTTCATAAATAGCAGAGGCACCGACGTAATGGTTCACAAGTAGCAAAATCGCCGACGTACTCGCATAGCGGAAGCAAAGTTCAAACGAGCTTTTGAAAATCGACAAGCATAGGTCTTCGGTAATTTCCCTCGGAATATTATCGCAACAAATGAGGATGACTTCAAGCGAAGATATCTTTGACAGCGTTCCCTAGCTTGCGGTGGGTTGTCACAAACATCTAGAGGTGATTTCAGGTGAATATATCTTTGATCGTGTTCCCTGGCTTGCGGAAGATGGTCACAAAGCGCTATAAGGTCATTTCAAGCGAAGCAATCTTCGATGGGGTTCTCTAGCTCATAGAAGTCTATAATGGCAGAATTGGAGGCAGTTACAAGCGTAGCAGTCTTTAGGCGGTAATCTCTAGATTGCAGAAGAGCGTCAAAACAAACAGCAGGATGGCATTCCCTAGCTTGCGGAAGGTTGTCATAACAACAGCAACAAATTGGTTACCTTCAGAGATGTGTGCTCGACGGTGCAAGATACGCGTTTCTTAACTATTTTATCTGTTTAACTAACACTAGTTTGCAGGTATCGGCGTTACAAGAATGGTTTGGGATCACGGAACGTTCTGAATCATTCTCAATCCTGTCGACTTTGACTTTTGTTTTTGAAACTTGCGTTTCACCAAACTCAGTCAAAGTGGGGGCTTATGTAGACATCCATTTGTGTCTCCCCAAAAACAAACCCAGTGATCAGTACTTTTCACGTCGAATCATAATTGAATGAAGTGAAAGTGTGGAAAGTCTAGTGTTGCACTTAGTTTTTATTTCCTTTCTTTCTCTGTGTTTTGAAAACCTATTTTAAGAAAACAGCCAATCCAGTTAGGTTTGGTCCATGGAAAGGGTCCAATAATAGTGTAGTTGGGTCAGGTTCGAAAAGAGCTTTCCAAATATTATAAGCCCAATTCCGATGAATAATGAGGAAGTTATGGCCAAATTACTAAATTGGGCCCGGTTTGATATTTATATGCGGCCCAATGATATAGAGGAGGGCCTAATATTGATTTATCATTCCTAATGCAATTAGAATTGATTAGAGTCTTCTAGATTCTTCTAGAAGGTTCTTTTCATTCCTAATTTAATTAGCATTGATAAATTAACTTTAGTTGTCTTTTAAGAGTTTTAATTAGAATAAAAGAAGTGTTTTTAAGGAAAATACGATTTTGCCCTTCTCGTACGGCTAAATTTTATCAAATTAAGGAAATGCGTGGAAATTGTTTTCCAGCGTCTAACGACAGGACCAGCGCCTGGCGCCAGGCTTGGAATCTGGCGCTAGAGTCCAGCGTTTGGCACCAAATTGTTTTATTCTTTTTGAAACTCTGATTCGTTTTTTTTATCATATCCCGCTGATTTTCTCTATAAATAGCCTCCTAAAACCTCCGTTTTCAATCATTAAAAAATCACCACTCTCTTCAAGAATCTCTTGATATCTTCTCTCCCTTTTCTAAACTAGCTTTTGCATACAAAATTCCGCATTCACAAGACCTAGAAACACCTAGCCAAATTTGAAGTTGCCTTCGCCCTAGACGTGAAAGTTTTTAATTTCTGAGGGTTTGGTGTCAAATCTATATTTCAATTATTTAATTTAATTGTTTGTTTATTATTTTCCTTGAAGTTACTAACGTGTGTATTTTGTTATTAGAAAGAGGTACGAGGCATCCAAGTAAGTGCTTTAA